AACACATGAAGAACGATTGCAGGAATTGGGTATGTCTAGTCTAATGAAAAGAAGGACCAGGGGCAACATAATAGCAATGTTCCAGTATTTGAGGGGCTACCACAGAGAAGAGGGGGTCAACCTATTCTCCAAAGCACCTGAAGACAGGAAAAGAAACAAACAGAAGGAAACTAATCAACAAGACAACCAAATTAGAACTAAGGAGAAATTTCCTGACAGTTGGAACAATTAACTAGTGGAACAGCTTGCCTTCAATAGTTGTGGGTGCTCCATCACTGGAGGCTTTTAAGTAGAGATTAGACAGCCATGTGGCTGGAATGATCTAGGGCAGTGGTTCTCAACCTTCCTAATGCCGCGACCCCAACCATGTGGTCGTAAGTCAAGGACTACCTGTATTTCCCTGCGGGCGGGGCAGGAGGAGGCGCGCACACTCCGCCTTCTCTCCTGAGGCTGCACGTGGACTGTCGCCCAGCAACCGCCTCAGCCCGGGAACGCCGCGCATGCGTGGTGCCGCCCCCTGTGCCGGCCGAGGCGTAGCTGGCAAGCGGCAGCGACGGTGCAGGCCGACCACCGGCTGGGCCACCAGCTGGCCCAGCCCAAGAGAGGTAAGTCACCCACCGGGCCCCACGCATGCCAGCAACCCTCCCTGCGCCCGCCAGCATCCCACCTCCCACCCCTGGCCCTCTTTTACTTGTACATTTAGTAGTCACTCAGCAGGGAGGGGTGGAAACGTCCAGAAACCTCGCCTTAGCTGCAGACAACTTGCAGCACCGTTTGCAGACTGGGGCTTTTGGCGGGCTCAGCAGGGCAGAGACAGTCTGGACAATTCCTATTGGATTTTGAAAGCCAATAGAATTAGAGTCTATTCAAGAGAGTCTATTTTGTTGGCTTTCAAAAGCCAATAGATTCTATTGGCTTTTGAACACCAATAGAATAGAGTCTCTTGAATAGAGTCTATTCTATTGGCTTTCAAAAGCCAGTAGAATAAGAGGGTGTAGCACAGCTAAGGAAAAGGGGGAAAAAATGGCGGACTGCGTTGTTTGGCGACCCCCATGAAATGGTCGTTCTACCCCAAATGGGGTCGCGACCCACAGATTGAGAACCACTGATCTAGGGTTTCCTGCTTGAGCAGGGGGCTGGTTGGACTAGAAGACCTCCAAGGTTCCTTCCAACTCTGCTATTCTGTATCCTGTATGGATGCCTCTCCCAATAGCCTAAAGGAGGACATTTCCATCTCATGAGGTTCTGGCAGGAAATAGTCTCCAAAAACCCCAATAGGAAGCTTCCTGTGAAGTTTGAGGGCAACAGATATCATGGGAACGCTCCAAATTCTACTCCTCGGTAAGTATTTTGTGGTTGGATATATATCTGAGAAGAATGTTTGAACATACAGGAATGGCCATCTGAAAGCAATTTCTGCTGCTCTGGAAATCCTTTGGCTATTTCCAGCATAGAGAACGGTATTTCTTAAATCAAAAGCTTCACTGGTCTGAACCTCAGATTATCTATTTCCAAATTAGCTTCCCTTATAATTCTTATTCATTCGTATAGGATTTTGATTTAATATGAAACAGAGTAAATGGGGGGATGAGATTAATTAATTGAAAGATAGGATTGTCTTAAAGTAAATGTTTAAAAGAATATGCTGATAATGGCTGAGATGGAAATCAAATCTTAATGACTTTAATTTGATGTGAGCTCTGGGTTGATGACAAAATGGGGAGAAAGTTTCCTGCAGAATTTTTCCCCCTCCCTGCAGGACTCATTAGTTTTGGTTTGATAGCATTATGAAAGATTTGACTATTGGCTCTGCAGGCTTGTGCTGGAGAAATTAGTTTCTCTTTGTTTGGGAGCAGCTAGCAACACAACACTCCCAATAGATTGGCAGCAAAACTGGAGACCAGCAGGCTAACATGGGCCAGCCAGTTCTGCCCAGAGGTTCACAAAAGGGAGATGCTCCTCATTTCCGTACAGGTAGTCCTGGAATTATGGCTCTTCACTTAGTGACCAAAGTTATGACAGACCCCTCAAAAGATACTAAAGACCCAGTTCTGACAGCCCCCCCACCATGGTCACATGACCAGATACTGGGCATTTGGCAACCAGCCCCATTTAAGACCCTTTGCCGGGTCCCCCAGTCACGTGACTGCTGAAAACCAGTATTTGCTACAATGGCTTTGCTTAATGACTGCTCCAAACAAAGGTTATAACATTGGGTCAGTCACATGATGATCCACTTTATGACCATCACCACTTACAACTGTAATTGCCAGGCTTAATTACGGTCCTTAGTTGATGCTGAGGTATAATCGTTTCCTAAGGCCCAGATGTGTGTTGCATATCATTTCGGAGAGATGGAGTTTTACAAGCACCTAATTTGATGGGAATTTCTGGATTCTAAACCAGGGGTCCTCAACCTTGGCAATTTTAAGACTTGTGGACCGACTCCCAGAATTCCTCAGCTAGCCTGCTGAGTTGAAGTCCACAAGTCTTAAAGTTGCCAAGGTTGAGGACCCATGTTCTAAACCATCCTGATTAATAGGCACCAACAGTCTTATGCCTTACATCTTTATAATGTTTGGGGGAGGGTTGTTTTAACTTTCGTGTTATTGTATTGCATTATTATTGAGCATGACAAAGAGTCCTATGAGAAGGAATGGAGAGGTGTCTCTTTGTACATTCAGCAAGCCCGGCCTGGAATTTTCCTCTAGACAAGCAGTTGTCCATTCTCAACCTTTAAGCTGCACTGTATTCCAGATCTGTCCACACTCCTCCATGACATGAACCTGGGGATTAAATGGATATTGTTGTGGTTAATTCTATTTACATACCACTAAATCAGCACAGTCTCAAGGTGCTTTGCAAACAAATGGCAGAAGCATCCCTAACTGTTAAAACATGCAATGGATCTAAATCAATAATTCTAGAGTGAAGGTAATAAATATTTTGGAGTTTGCTGTTGAATTTCTTACATTTTTAGCTAGCTCCTGTGTTTGTTGTGGCAAAGTGAACTTTGAATTCCTCTGGTCAAGTACAAACAGGCAGATGATCTGGTCTCCTTGACTGACTCAGTAAAACCTACCTGAAATTCTACGGGTGTTTTATTTCTAACAAGGAAAAGAAAAGGTGAAATGCTGCAGCATGGAGAGGCCATGAATGCTGTTTCCTTGGGCCTTGGGATTTTAGCAGCACCCCCTCCTCTTTGAAATCTAATAAGGGAAAACCAGGTCTGGAAACAAATGCTATGAAGCCCCTCTCCGTGGCTTCTTAGGCAAATCTCTTGTGCAAATTTTTCCCTCCACTGCTCGGCACCTGCCTGCTGCCAGCAAAGGACAACATTAATTTGGATTTGTGCATTGGGTGGGTTTGGCACAGGCTAAGCTGGGGGGGGGGGCTCCATGGGCCGTCTCTGGTCTGGGATCAGCTAAGCTGGAGGGGGACCGCCTGGGCGTTTCTGAGCTGCAGATGGGCTGGGTGGTCTCCTGCCCATCAATCACTGACTCAGAAAAAGGCCGTAGCAAGTGACATCCATAGGATGCCAATAAAACTACATAGCCAGGAATGGAAAATGGTTTAAATGTGGCTTTATTTGGGGGAGGAGGTGGGGGGAGGGGGAGGCTTTGACACAGAGAGGACCTGGGGCCAACCTCGCGCCAGTTTTTTGCACTTGAGAAACTGGCTGGAGTTGTGCAGTGATTATCCAACTCTGCTGTGAAGAAAAAAAGCTGCTTTGCCCAGCTCCCTGAGCCCACTTGCCTCCCCCCCTCCTGCCAGCGGAGGGGCAGTGAGGCTGTCCCCCAGGGGGGAATGTCCACCCGGGACCAAGCAGGGAGATGTCCCAGCCACATTTCTTGGCAAAGCGGGGAGGGCTTTCCAGGAGGACGGGAGGGGCCGGCGAAGGAGTGAACGGTCAGTGCCGTCCCTGCTGGAAGGACATAATTGGCTGGGGATAATAAGGAGCATACTGAATGGGAGAGAGCATTTCCAGAAGGGTCTTTGTGTTCTGCCCAGAAAACAAAGGCTGCCGTTCCCGAAAAGAAAGCCAACCCCAAATTCTGGCCTGTTTCTCATTCCCTTTGAGGGCCAAACCGGGAAGGGAGTCAAAGGTTTGCGCAAAAGGGCTTCACTGCTCTGTGCCTTCCTGCATCTGGGCTGAAAGGCTTCAGTGTGTGGAGCTGGAATCGTTGCTTTTAAGCAACGGCCAGTCCTGCTGCTTGATTGTGAAAATCGAGGACAGTAAACTGCTCTGGTGCGGCACCCAACAACACACGCGCACATGTACACACACATATATTACTCCATGCAGCACTTACAATGATGTATTTTCGATTTCTCTTTTAACCCAATCCCCCCCCCCCGAACTCTGCGTTAAATGGTTTTCTTTTTGTTTTCCTCCCTTGCCCCCCTCCTTTCTTTTTAATGACTATGGACTTAATCTGTGTGTAGTTTTATTGATTGCACACTGGTGTTTGTTTGAAATGGGTTTGCATAGGGAGTGGTATGAAATATAAATTTTTTAAGAATATAATTACATAATTATGCCTGTACTGCCAGCTATTTTCAGTGTGAGCTTGGACAAATCTTAACTGAAGAGCCCCATTTGCTGCACTAATTCTCCAGATTCTGTTTGGGGAAAAATCATGGTAGACGGAGCGATTAGCAGCAGAGAAGTAAGACAGGGGCTGCCCATCTGAACCAGCAAATCAGGGACAAATCTTCCTTAAGATGAAGTCTCCTAAGCAAAAACTTCAGTTAGTCAGCCACGGGAGCTCCTGCACTAGCCTTCCATTCATACTTAACGTGCCGCTTTCCTGGGAATCTCTGTGATGATCTTCTTACTTTGCACACAGTTGGCTGAGCCTCAGCCTTGGGACACCGACGGCTGGAATGGCTGGCTCAGCCAAGGCCCTAAGCCAGCCCTGCTCTCTGCCAGGGGCTAGCCAAGGAAGCTGAACCTACTAAGGTTGGCCTCTGCTTTTCTTTTTCTTCAATCTCTTCAGGGGACGGACAGAACTTGGTAACCGAAGACGTGACCGTAGTAGAGGGAGAGGTTGCCACCATCAGCTGCAGAGTCAAAAACAGTGACGACTCCGTGATTCAGCTCTTGAATCCCAACAGGCAAACTATTTATTTCAGAGACTTCAGACGTGAGTTCAGGGCCAGTGGCCAACCTTTTGATCTTAATATTTGGGGGAAGGATTTGGGAGGCCCAGGATGTTTCTCTCACCCTTTGGCTGCCTGGATCAGCGTTCTGGGGCAATGGCGCCCTTGTTCCTTTGCTGGGGTTGATTGTTTAGATGCCACAGGTCTTATCATCTTCTTGTGGCTTGGTAGCACTGTGGTTAGAATGCAGTATTGCAGGCTAACTCTGCCCGCAGCCTGGAGTTCAATCATGACCGGCTCAAGGTATGGCTAGTTAGAGAAAAGCCTTCCATCCTTCTGAGGTCGGTAAAATGAGGACCCAGATTGTTGGGGGCAATAGGCTGACTCTGTAAACTGCTCAGAAAATGCTGCAAAGCACTATGGAGCAGTATGTAGGTCCAAGTGTTATTGCTATTGTGCCTTGCTTGCAGTTTCTAGGTGGCCCAGCCAGCAAAGGACCCCCACCCCATCTTGGGCAGCCAATTTACTAACCTATTTGTGTGCTAAACAAGCAGAGTGGGAGGGGGGATAAGCTGGAGGAAGTAATTACAAGTACTTGTTAAGGGGCATTTGTTTATTTATCTTGATTGCCAAGAGAGCCTGCTGGTTAAATCCAAATTGCTGGAGAACAATAGGAAATAACAGGATGTGGGGAAGAGGAAAGAGTTGTCTTTGCCAGTCAGAACCCTTTGAGCCGTGGAGCTCTTTTGTGTGTTCTCGGCCTGATTCCCCTTCTCTCTTCCTTCTGCAGCCTTGAAGGACAGCAGGTTTCAGTTAGTGAATTTCTCCAGCAGTGAGCTCAGAGTGTCACTGACCAACGTCTCCATTTCGGATGAGGGAAGATACTTCTGCCAGCTCTACACGGACCCTCCACAGGAGTACTACATGACCATTACGGTGCTCGGTAAGAATCCCATCCCCATCTTCAGCTCCTTTGGAGGCAGTAGGAGGCAGGTGGAGAAAGTTCAGGGCTTTCTTTGCATCCATTCCACAACTTTGAAATAAATCCTCACGGTTTACATTGTACTCTGAAGTCCATGTCCCCATATCTGTGGATTAGGATGGATGTGACAAAAGTTGAAACTGGAAGAAACAACTGAAGTATAATTTAGGGCCAATATCTAGAGAAAATGAAGACAAAACGGCCTGCGCCATTTAAGGGTGCTCATCATGTCCTCTCTGAAGGAGCAGATCCACCATGCTCTCACATCTCCAGGTGAGCAATTCTGTGTAGCCATTTCTGGATTGGGAGACAGAAATACAGCCCGTGGCCTAATGTAGATAGCAGTAGAATGGTTCCCCAGCAGCTAGTGGAAAACAAATGTCCATTTCTGAAGTGAGAGGAGAAATGAAGAGAGGAGGGAAACCCAAGAAGGTCTTCAAAGAAGCTCATGCAATTAGCCCAGTATCAATTGTCTGAGAGGCTGCTTTTGATTTCCCAAGCAAGGACTGGAGGCTCCAGTAATCTTTGTCTTCCCCCCAAACTTTTACATCTATAAAAACATATTCTGCAAGTGAAACATATTGCCTAAAGAAGGTGATAAAATCATTTTAAATAGCCCACGTCTGCATTTTGAGCCTGCTTATTTTAAGAAATCTCATGGTTGCAGTCAGTTGTGAAAAGCAAGTATTCTGCCTAAATGCAGCCCACTCAGCTCTGGACCCATTGAATATGCCCCTGAAAATCTGCACCTGATTAATTGCCTCCTTTACTCTCTCTGCACTGGAGGCCCTTGTGAAAATTGCATTAAAAGTTGAGGCGGTTGATGTAATAACTGTACTGTGGAACATTATTATTTCTCTGCTAGACTAACAATCGACCAGAGTCTCTTTGATAAATGCCAACATTGTGTGTGTGTGGTCCCCATTTGGGGCATTTCTGCATCTAGCAAAATATTTTAGTTAGCAAATCAAGCATTTCAGATTGAGCCAGAGCCAAGCAGTAGCTTTAGCCCATCCTGTGCAATCTCTGAACGCCTCTCCTCCTCCTCTTCCCAGTGGCCTCTGTTGGTCTAAGAAAGTCTAGCCCTGCTTTTGCCACCAAGCCAGCTGGGGAACTAGTCCTCCCAGTCTGCCCTCCGATTACTCACCGTTCCAAAAAGAGAAACAGTGGGCTGAGCAGACCCATCCACAATAGTTGACGGATTCTGCAAGGGCCCTCCTGGCTTCTGATTAGGGCAGCCTCTGATGATCCTGGTAATGAGAGAGCTTGAATTGCAGCAAGAAATTTCCAAGTGAGATTGTGCTCTTTGATTAGTTACACGGGTTCTCCTCTCTTTGTGCATTTCATGAGGTTCAGTTCTTAGTCTGATAGTATGTTATGAGAGTTTAAAATTAGCCTGCAGTGTGACTTTCAAACTGAGCTACCTTCAGCTTTGAGAATTGCTTCCTGATGTGGCTTCACAGCTGTCCTTCTTTTCCTGCCTTGGTCAGATTTGAGAGCTGGGAAGAGCTGGGCTTTTTCTCCAGGGCTCCTTTCCCTTCCTGGACTCAACAAGATTGTCTTCTGCCTTGGTGCAGGGCATCTCCTGGGGATACCCTCCATGCTGAAGACCCCTCCCGTCCCCTCCCTGTGAAAAGCACTTGCATTTCTTGGAGAGTTGGGGAGAAAAAAACATTTCCTTCCAGCTGCTCTGAGGCGCATCCTTGTCCAACCTGGAAGGTGATGGGTGTCAGCTTTTTTCTTCTTTTGCTTTTTGGAACCCCCAAATGATTTTCAGAATATATTTACTCCTCAGCTGAAAACAGCAACCCCGCCCTGTTTTTCCTAGCTGAATCACCCAACTGCATCATCAGAACAAATCACAACCAAAAAGGCCACTTATTCCCAACGACGTGAATTTAAATCTTTGTTTCAGAGCTTTGTTAAATAACAGCAATCATCTCCTAATGCCGGGATCGCTGATTAAAAAGTAGAAGCCGCCCGGCTCTTCCATCTCCCCCCTTCCTCCCCCCCCTTCCTCTCTTCTCTAAGGGATTGTGAGGCCTCTTGCAGATGTTTTTGGTGGGTTCACGGTTCTCTAGTTATGCCTCAGATTATCTGCAGTTCAAGACGCTGCTGGATTTGCCTGATCCCTTTGGCTTTGGGTGTCAGCAATATGAGGAACCTGCGCAGAATGCGAGCTTGAAGAGGAAGGAAAAAACACCCTCCCTCTAAAAAAGATGTTTTCTGGTGCAATAATGGCTCTTTTGGGCGTCTGCTCTCTCTTTGCAATTTACAAGGTGGGGGGTCGTTTCTGAAGTTCTGGATTTTTTAATAGCAATTTTATTAAGAATTACTATTAAAGAGATAAAACTAATGCAAACAAAAAAAGATTAAAGAGATAAAACTAATACAAATAAAAACTAGGAAGTGCCAAAAAGAAAAAATAGAAAAGAAGAAATGAGGATATAATAAAGAAAAAAAAGCAATATATAAAGAAATGACTTTCCCCTTCATCATATAAAAACTTACTACCTTCTCTAAAAAATACAACCAATGACCCTCTTCCTCCCAAATCTCGCCCCTTATCTGTAAACAAGTCCTTAAAGCCTGATCTTCAGTCCTGATCAGCAAAGCCCATTAAGATTACCAGAGATAACAACATATCTATTTTAACTTTGATCAAAAAAACCAACTTTAAAGTACTTTGTTTTACTTTTAACAATCTTGATCTTTAATCCCTTCAAATAATGTCCTAGAATTTGATTTCTTTTCATTTTTTCTTTGTCCCTTCTCGCAAAATTCTTCAAAGCTTTAACAAGTCTTTTTGTAAATCCAATATAGAAAAGTTATCCAAGTCACACTTTTGGTTGTTTTTTTCCTATCTCTTTTAATTATTAAGACATTACATCAGCTTACAACTTTCTATCCATAGAGGCAGACACTTTTAAAATTAATTTCTGGGTTCATTCTGGTTTGGGGGATTTTAGGGGAGAGAGAGATCATGCTTCTTCTCTTACTCAGTCTTCTTCACCCCTAGAATGTGTAATGTTGTTAATTATTTGGGGATAGTAAAAATGAAGAATTGGTGCTCCTGAGATGTCAAAGAATAGGAAGGAGCTCCAAAGATGCAAGTAAGAGCTGCTTTGGTGTTCAAATCCTGGTAAGGCTTCTTGGTGGTGCCTTGTTGGATTCCAAGTCACTGAGATTGTCCGCTTTTGTGTTTTTGACCTGTTTCGTTCCAGTCCCGCCACGTAACCTGAGGATTGAATCCCAGAAGGACTCCGCGGTGGAAGGAGAGGAGATTGAGCTGAACTGCACATCGATGGCCAGCCGGCCAGCCACAATGATCAAATGGTTCAAAGGCAGCAAGGAGCTCTTTGGTAGATCCACCCCCTCCTCCCCCCACCCATCAACTTAATGGTGTAGACTTAGAGGTGTCTTGGGAGGATGAGAGGTGACCTGACCTCAGATGCGGAGTCTGGGCCTGGCGCAGCCTCAGCTGATCACCTTGATTTTATTCTCCATGGAATGAAGGATTGACTCATATTATGAGCTTCCTCCTCGACAGCCAACAGTCAAAGTATCTGAGGACAACCTCAGAGCCTGTATTTAGGCAGCTTACCCAATATGTCCTTGAACTACCAGTTCAACCTGATCCAGCAGAAAGCCACACACACCCCAGCTCAGACACAGCTCTCCCCACAAGTTTCTTCTGGGGAAAAAAGATGGGGTGCTGATTTGTCTGTCAGCTTCACTGCAGACCTCTTCATCCCTGACAGAGGACACCCCATTCCTTGCTGCATGATCCATCTCCTTCTAAAGCCCTGGGTCACATTTTTAGGTTTTTTCAGGTGGTAAGTCAGCACTGGGAAACGAAATACAATCCTTGCCATCACCTGGTCCTTCAGCGTTTGATCCCTCACATTTTACTTATTTGCATTGTCTTCCATCCTGTTGTTCTTACTTCTAGAGAGGCTTCCCAAATGTTTCAGCTGTGTAACTGAGCCAAGATTCAAAGGCCTGGCTATCTCAGAGGCTCCCTGCCAGCCTCTTAGTTGAGAAGAGCCACTTGAAAGCAGGCAGATCTTCAGCACAAGAGTGGCATTGAGGACCAAGCAGATGCCCCCATGCCCATCAAGCGAAATACACTCTGACTTCCAGAAGAGCATCTACTGAAAGTGGCTTTCATTTGTCTCTCCTCTAAATTTTACCAAGCAAGCAAAGCAGCCTAGGACTGTAATGCAAGGGGTGCAGATTTTCTAATTAAGACTTTTCTGTTGGTTTTGCCTGCCGAGATGGTGTGATAGCCCCTTCCAGACCAGGCAGCTCCCAGGCAGCTGGTGGCGCTTCCCTCATCCGTGGGAGCCCCCCCCCCACAGCCTTCCCTCCCTTCATCGCAGCCCTCCTCACGTTCTGCCCTTCTCCTTCCCCTTCCTTTTGGCAGGGAGCCCTGTGGGGTGTCTCTGTTTCCACCCACTGCCACCGCATTTTTCTGGTCTTCAATGGTACCCGTGCTTAAATATTTTAATTACTACTTTTAATTATGTAAATCCATGGAGTCACTTTCCCTCTTGATTATTGATGATGGCTTTTGGCAGTGGCATCAGAAGGTTTTTTGGCTCCGTGGACTTGAGTGTTTGGAAGACATCCTAGAATCCCGGCAGTTGAGGGTTGTAGGTCTCGTGTTTAATAACAGGAGGCGAAGGTGGGGCCTCCCCTCCCTTGGAATCCAGGAGCCAGGAAGGAAGAGCACGAGCCGGGCGGCTTTCTTTTGCCGGTAGGGGAGCTTCATGACCTCGGAATCCAGTCTTTCCTCTCCCCTTCTTCCAAGTCTCCACTCAGGCAAGAGGGCAGCCAGAGTGCTTACGAGGGAGTAGGGTCTTCCCCTAGGCCCTCTGCGTCTTTGGGGTGTGCAAGAATGGATGCCAGCACAAGATAGGTAAGGTCAGCAGACGTTCTGTGGCTCGGGGGCACCAAAGACAGAAGGAACCCGTGCCCCAGCGGGATTTTTTTTTGCAGATTGCATACTTGTGAGAAATTCCAGGATAGTTGTGAGATAGAGCTAGGTTGTAGAGGAGCACAGCAGGCAGTGAGGTGGTCACCCGTGGCCCTTTGTGGCTGACCTGCTCTCTCGTCTCCCTGGTCTCTCCTGTTCTGCAGGCAAAACAGAAGTGGAGCAGTGGTCAGACATGTACACGGTGACCAGCCAGCTCTTACTAAAGGTCAAACGGGAGGATGATGGGGTCCCAGTTGTCTGTCAGGTAGACCATCCTGCCGTTAAAGACTTGCAGACCAAGTACTACCTTGATGTAATGTGTGAGTACCAAAATCACAAGCTCTTCACTCTGTGCCTATGCTGTTTATGTCTGGCTTTCTTAAAATGGATATTCAGAGTATTGAATGTTAGTTTAAAGCTTTTCCTGCAGTTTTTTCATGTCTCTTTTGAAAAAGTTCTGCCGTTCATTCTTGGGTGAATCACACAAAGCTGCCTATGAATGTTCTTTTAATGCAGACATCTGACTTCCATGAGTTGGTGCCTTCCAGGTAATTTGGGACTCCCATAAATCACAGCCATAGATCCAGATTGGCTAGAATCTATGAGAGGTTCACTCCAGCAACATCTGGAAGACATCAGCTTAAGTGAGGCCAGAGGCTCAGTATACTGTATGTGTTGAAGAAGAGTCTTCCTGGTCTTCCACTTGTGTTGGAATATGATTCCTGTGTCTTCTGGTCACTGTGTCGTCTCAGTTCCTCATTATATCTCAAAATAATGGGCTCAGTTAAAGCTGTGTTGAACGAAGTCCTGAAGTTCAATTCTCCTCTTTAATAGTTGCCAGCGGCCTTTGAGCTGGCTGTTCTGGGCCACTTCAGAGATCAGGCAGCAGCGAGTTCAGGTTCACCATCAAATTATCTTGAAATATCAGCAGCAGCCCTTCCAGAGACCCTGTCAAACATTGGCATGGCTCCTTGGTGGCTCATGCTTCTCCAACCGACTCCTTTCCCCATTTATGCTGTTTTTCCCCCCTGAATCTTTGGCTGTCACTATTGCTTATGCCGAAATGCTGCATAACCACGTATCCTATAAATATTATCCTTGCAAGATAACTTTCTGTAAATCCACAAAGTTAAATTACTGGCTTGGCACTAAGCTGTGGCTTCCTATTTCAGGCAATTAGAGGACCAGAGGATGGCAGAAAAGATCTGCCTGTGCTTCCTTTTGCTGCTTACCTTGAAGTATTGCCCAGGACTCTGGCAGCCGTGAGCGGCATCCCGGGGGTTGGCATGTGCCCCATCCCGTCTGAGTGCCGTTCAGATGCAGTGCCATACGAAGCATGGAAGGATTCATGGCTTAAGCAGCCAGCCACTTTCACCATGAGCCAGAACTATGGCAGGGCGATGTCTGCCTTTTGTATTTGCAATTCAACCATAACGTTACACAAAGAACCTCCCCCATGTTAATTTATTTCTTCTGCTTCATTATGTTGTTCCATTATGAGCATTTTGCTTACAATTTTCATATCACCCAAAAGTATTGGGGAAGGAACATCCCTATAATGGGAAAACAAAAAAACCATCAGATATTACCTAAATTGGCAGGTTGTGGCAGCCTCGTCACTGTGCTAATGTGTAATTCATTTATGCAAATGTTCTGTCCATTAGCATTTCTGGTAGAGCCCCATTAGCTTTAATAACATATTAGCACCTTTGCTAAGTCTGATCGGAAAAGCTTTCACAGATACTTACATCCGTGTGTCAGTACGCAGAGTGGGACTTCCTTGGAAAACAGTCAGGACCTCCCATCCTCCAACCCCAGGGAGGACCGTGCAGGAGACCTCCAAGGCTTCATCTCAAAGAGCAATGAGTAAGAATGTCATGGCCAGGAAGTTATTTATTTCACAGGGATCTAATCAGAACATTTTTGAGGTCAAAGATGTCCTGGATTAGTTCTGTCAGTGGAGAAACGGTAGTATTTGAAGACTCTTTAATTGTGTCTCACCCAAACCAAACCTTACCTGCTTCTCTCTTGGCGTGCTGATGCCACAGCAGCTTAGAGAGAAGCAGAGCTCACTTGTCTGTTGCTTGAGGTCCAAATTACTATATCGCCTGGTTTCCTGGCAGCTGCTCAGAAGAATAACACTTTGTAAACACCAAGCCCAATGACTGCCCATTCTCAGAAGCTTGCTGGACTCCGGGATTTGCAATTGGCGCCTGGAGCTGGGCTCACTGTTAGGACTTCATACCTGTTAGATGACCACTTGTTGCCACCATGCAACAAGAAGAGTCTTAACGTTGGATTGCAGGGCTGCATCCAATCTTCTGCTGCCCAGTTGGCAGCTGGAGAGAGAGACCTGGTGGAAGAGGACACTGAAGATCCTGGACCTTGGTTCTCCCTGCCTGGCCCAGGTGGGAGCTGATCTAGGCATCCTTTTCCCCTGGACCAATGAATGCGCAGTCACAACCAGTTATTTTTTCACTGGGCATACTTAGTAAAAGATAGAAGTCAGAAGGTAGCAGCTTTTAATAAAAAGGAAGGTATGAGTAGGTGAAATTCAAATTATCTATGGAGCTTTCTCAAGGCTGTGAGCTAATTCATGTTTGCTCAAAGGCTTGAATAGACAGCTGCATGTTAGCGTTAGCACAGAAATGGAAAGAAGAGTGAAAATGAGAAAGAAGTCTTTGAGAATGGTCGCAGGATAGATGAGCCCTTCACCTTGAGAAAAAGATTCTGGACAAGTTCTTAAAAGGAGAACATTAACTTAAATCCACATAAAGCCATAGAAAAAGGTTTGATATGGGAATGAGCAAAAGGCAACTTTTGAATGAAGAATACCATAAGCTTCCTGAGCAATTAGCTTCAGTATGGTGCCACACACCATTGCCACACATCCAAGTAAATTGGTGTGTGGCATATAACAACTGGAAGCTTCCAGTCTCTCCTCGTGTCTAGAAGAAGTGTGGTCAGGCTAGTCTTGGGCTCATATCTGTGCATGTTGGAAGCCTCTGTTGGACCAAAGAATATCCCTCCTTGGAGCATGCATTGTCTCTGTTCTGTCCTATGGCCATCAGGGTCTTTGAATGAATAGCGAGGGGGGGGGGTGATGCCTTCTCCCATCACTTCTAGCCAAGAGTTGCTGAAATGTTGGGGTGATGAGGACAGCGATCAAAACAGATGGCAAAGTGAAAGAAATTTTGGACAGCAAGCAAGGATTATGGTTCCTCTTCCTCATAGTTAATATTCTGAAGTTTGGAGCAAGTTGTGTTTTAGGTATTTGTAACTTGTACAAACAAGAGGGGGGAGAAAGGAGATTTTAAATTAGTACAAAGATCTTTCAGGCAGGAAGCTAAATTTTGCATCTGGCAGAGCCTTTTTTGTATGATAGCATTTCTGAGAGTTTTGTCTACAGATAAGCCATAACTAGCTTCCTCGGAAGTAACCTTACTGTTTTACAAATTCAAAAATTCATCATGCAGGATCTCTGGATAAGAAATTTGGCCTGTGTAACAAAAGGGTTAGAGTGGGAGAACTAAAACTAAATATGTGTCCCCAATTCTTTCTTCATGTTGTTGCCATCCATGAAGCTCTGAAACTGAGCTGCTTCAGATGTTCCTGAACCAAAGGGCTGTCCTGTAGAGGCCAAGTATCAGGGTGTGGATTCTGTGGCATTTTGAGATGTGCTGTCCTAACCTCAGAAGCTCTTCAGCATGATTTCTCCCTCAAGAAGCGGTCAGTCCTTCGGGGAGAGAACAGTTTTGGTTTCCCTTTGTCCTCCAAGAGTAGCTAGAGGACCATCTAAAGTGTTGGATATCTTGCTTGACTACAAGTTCTATTCTTGCTTTAATGTCCATCAGAGTATTTAATTAACACTTCCAGGGGAAAAATTACTGTGCCAGGGTTGACTTTACATTTCAGCAGGTCTCACCGGCCAAGCCATCATCCAAGGTAGCGATAATGGGTTTTTCAGAAGTTGGGAAAGAGGATGGCGAATTGCAAAGTATTGTAAGTGCAGGGGAGCTGCACGTTCTTTACCAGCTAGCTGTACCTGGTAACTACCTGAAAGCTACATCCCCCAAAGGGAGGTTAGTAAGAGAATCAAGAAATGTCTGCAATAAAAATGTAGAGATAAATTGTTGTTTTTTTTTAATACAACTCTCCAGTTGCCAAGATGTTTGTAAACAAATGCCTTTCCCCTTTTTAATAAGTCTGGATAAAGAAGATTTGAGAATCTTGCTTTGGGATTTTTAGCTGCTGGTAAAGGCTTGGCCGCAGGCCATTTTGAAGTGCGTCTGTCTGCACTGGTTGACTTGCGTACATTCACAGCTGTGGAAGTGATTGTGTGCAAATTCACGTCTAAAAACAAAAATGGAGCCTTAAAGCAGATGAGGACATCGTTAAGATCTTATGCTAAAACAGTGAAGAGGAGGGAAGAGCTGCCTTGCTGCCTGTGTTTGATGTGCCGGGGTCTCTGCGTTTCCCCTCCTTGGGTGAAGCAATGTTAAGGGAGAGGCAGTAGAGCCTTAAAGCCACAGGAGAAGAAGAGAGTCATAATTAATAGAACCCAGATATTTGTAATGTCTGCTTGTATGCCTATAAAAACACACACCCAGGGAAACCGCAGTAACCCCTGTTAGTTGTTTATACCAAGAGAATACCCGGTGCCCAATTATGTTTAACAAAGAAAGGAAGACGCCAACCAATGCAGGCAGCTCGTGTTTCTATTAATCTGCATGCTTCTGGTGAGTGCAGATATTAATTGCACCAGTATGCAGTGAAGTGATTAACTTCAATATAATTTATCATCTGGAGATTTCTGAACATAAATAAATGAGCTGTTTTGTTCAGTGAGGTGTTGACCCTTTCAGAATATCTGATTTACTGGGGGCCCTATATTATTAGTAGCATTATTGTAAATATGAAAGCCCCCCCCCAATCAGCTGACTGTACAGTTATTTGATTTTCCTGGAGCATTAGCCTCCCTTCTTTGTGACATTTCCCAGTTGGGTGCTCGTTTGTGAGCTTATTAATAAGTCTTTCTCAGAGGAATTTGGTGGAAAGCGTAGAGCAAAGGCAGGAGCAGCGCAGGGCTCCCCCGCCCAGCAAGGAGGCAATTGGGTGGGGAGTGACACCTGATCCTGAGCCCCAAAGCCTGGGATGCTTAGGATGACTAAAAAGCCACGCTGATGGGAATAAAATGGGGTGGGGGTGGGGTGGGGGTTCCCTACCATCTTTGATGCCAAAATGTGCCTTGTTCCTTGAGCACATCTCATCCTCTGATCTGGGGGCTTTGTCTTTGTTGCACAGTGGCAAATTGTGCGTG